AAATGTTTATGAAAATTAATAAAATATAATTATAGAAAAAAAAAATAGGCTTAGAAAACAGAAAGAACATATAATGCACTTCACTAGATTGAACAATAGATGGCACTTTAATCTTTTTCTAACTCCAGGTGGCATTTGTGAGGGAAAATCTTTTTAGATACATTTTGTTTTTAGTTACATTTTGAGTTCTGGTGATATAGTGAGGAGTTGCCCTGCAAACCCACTCACTCTTGTCTCCCTCGGAGATAGGCTGTCTCCTCCCAAGCGAATACTAGCTATGCTTTGACTCAAAAACAGAGTTTGAAGTTTTTTTCCAGTAATCAAGTTTCTCTTCTAACTTTCCTCTTCATCTGAATTGAAGGTTTTATGTTCTTCATATATAAATAAAAAGTAACTTACTAGTGGACAGTTAGTAAACTAATTGCCATCAATCAAGTTGGAATGGACTCAGAGACTGTAAATTGTATGGGAGAAGATTACCCATTTTTCTCCCGTGGAGCTAGGGTAGATTTGAAGCACAGGCCTTTAGGATCGTAGCCCAGCTTCTTACAACTAGATGACCAGAGCTTCCTTTCTTCAGTGTAGTTATATGAATTAATGCATAAGAACATAAATCCTCAGGCTCAAGTGTGACTGTATTACTGTAGTGGTGCTGATGGCACAGTGAGTAAATATTTAGAGTTGAAATTCAGACCTTGACAGTCTTGATTTCAGAGTTCTATACTTTCAACCAGTAATTCACACTTCACTCTTAATCAGCAATTAAGAGTGATTCTGTCACAAGTTAAAATAAAAGTACTTACAGATATTGAGGGGGGTTTATATGTCATTTCCTTTTTTGTAATACTCATTTTTATTTTTGACACTTGCTTTGATAAAGTTTAACACACTGTAGTATTTTCTAGAGTTGTCTAAGCTAGTGAGACTGATAGTAAGACCCAACCTGATTGAGACTAATCATTGGCACTTCATATAAAAAGTGAGAGCAGGGAATGATTTTTTTTTTAAGTGTACACACATACCTTACCCATAAAATTTTATCCTAATATGAATTAATTTTCCAGTTTTTGTTTTTCAGCCAAACTGAGTATGGGCCTACAAATTATAATTAAGCCAACTTTTTTCTTTATATTGGCCATAGTATATTTTTTTTATATTAACTCTGGTGGCCTAGTGGCAAGAAGCGGTGCTGCAATCCTGAAGGCACCCGGTTCTAATCAACCAGCCACTCCCACGGGAGAAGGATGGGCAGTGTCCTCCCGTGTGATTAAACTACTAATGAAAACCAGCCAGAGGGTCAGCTATGGGTCGGTTCCGACTCAATGGGACACAACCACCACCACTGTGTATTTATATCCACAGTGTTTTCTCTGACTTCCATTTTCCTTTTCTACAAAGTAAAAGCATGAACCTAACAGAACTTGGAAAGCAGTAGAGTTAGAGCAGCGTTCTGCATTTAACAGATTTTTTCCTCCACCAGATTTAACCACAAATTTTCTTAATAACTTTATCAGTTCTTTTGAAATATCCATACTGATTTTCAATACAGCTTTTAAAAAGCCATTTGTATAATTTTTCATTAAATTATGTATTATCAACCCTACAAATGTTAGTAGTCTTGAGATACAAATGGCTCTTAGTAAATGTACAAATCATTTAAGACAACTTGTGTTTAAATAAAATAAGATCATAGAGATATCTTTTAAAAGTTCTATTGGAGTATAAATATTTCTATCTTATTGAAAGTATTCTTATTAGCTCTCAGCTGGTATAGGTGAGGCTTTTCCTTAATGGCGTTTTCCAATTATTTCTCTTAGTTCAAACTTCTGTGGGTGTTCATGCATTCCTTTACTCTCCAGCTGCAAATAGTCCTTTGTCTGTTCTTGCTGTTAACTTTTGGTAAATCCTCGGCAGTTTATAACATCTGTTTTGAGTGCCTTATTTAATGAGAAAAAAGAGATGCTTGGAAAGGTGAAGGGTCAGCAAAAGAGAGGAGGACCCCCAGTGAGATGGATTGATACAGTGATTGCAGCAAGGCAAGTGTGTCACAAATTGTGAGGATGGCATTGGATAGGACACTGTTTAGCGCTGTTTATAGGGTCACTATGAGTTGTTCTTGACTCAGTGGCACCTAACTACAACAACAAAGTCAGAAGGCATTAATGTGGTCCACAAAATATACTTGTGATATGTGAAAATTGGGATCTCAAATTCATAAGATCTAGAAAAGTTAATAGGTTGGTTTTTGTTGTTGTTTTTAAAAAGTTAATGGTTTTTAAAGCTAAGTAGTTTCTACGAGGATTATAGTCCTTCTCCCTTAATTCTTTAAGAAGCTCTGGTCGCCCAGTGCATTGCTGTTGCTATTGTGTGTTGTACTGCTAACCAGACAGTAAGCAGTTTGAATCCAGTGGCTGTTCTGAGGGAGACAGATGGGCAATCTTCTCCAGTAAAGATTTGCAGCCTCGGAAGTTCAACAGAAGGAATCAGCTCCCCAGTTGCGGCAAACTCTGTTAGCTGTTTCTTCTGTTTAACTTCCCCCTCCTAAAGAATATATTTTTATTATCTATAAATGTATCCATTTCCTATATTATCGTCTGACTTCCTCTTGTGGATAAAAAGGGTTTGCTTTTTCTGATACCATTTTATTCCCTCCCTTTTCCTTCTTTACTATCACCCTCCCTATACATATATTTAGGGGGCTCTGGTGGCCTAGGGTCAAGAAGCTGCGCTGCAATCCCAAAGGTGTGTGGTTCAAGGCCATCAGCAACTCCACAGGAGAAAGATGGGCATTTTCCTTCTGTGTGATTAACTGCCTCTGAAAACCCGCTGGAGGGTCAACTGTGGGTCAGTTCCAACTCTGGCACAACAACAACATACTTATATTTAGATAATAAATATAGACTGTCTAACTTTTCATTAAATCATGATCTGTGGTATCCAAAGTATAGCTAAGCTGTGAGTGTATACTATATAACTGATATCCTCTCTAGAACAACTTTTTATTAGTGGAAATTTACTGGTTTTCTATGCAGCTGCAATTCATTGTTTCCAAACTCCAAGGAATTGGAAAACATTACTAACATTTTTTCCTTGGGATCCTCTAAATACATCAGTATTCTGTCTTTTCCATTTTCCCAGAGACTTCTTTCATACAGCCAGCTGTCACTCGGTTCCAGTGCACAGCTGTGACCATCTAGGGCATAGGTTCACATTCATGATAGCTTCATGAATGGTGGCGAGCTTGGCTGCACAGTCCATAGGGAGCCGCCCGCTAACCCAAAGGCCACACCTCTCTGGCTGTTTGCATCCTCCACGGGCTCCGAGGGAGAAAGATGGACAGTCTCCTCTTACACAATTTACAGCTTTAGAAACCTGCTAGAAGGTCGGCTGAGAATTGGTTCCAGTTCTACAGCAATGAGAGAAGAAAAAAAAAGAATGACAATTTAAAAGAACTATCGCAATGAAAGAAAGCTGAGTACTTAAACAATGCTTTTGGAAAAATTGATAATTAGAGATAAAAATTCATTTATACCGATACTTCACACTGAAATATCAAATCTTAAATGAACATACATTTTTTTTTATTCTTTTTTTTTTCTATAATTATATTTTATTAATTTTCATAAACATTT